AGATACTTATCCTCTAGATTGTGCCTCAGATTCTTCATCTTAAAATAGAGATACAGTATGTACCTCATTAGGTTGCTGAATGTAAAGAGTTAATATAAGGTGATTTGAACAATGTCCAGCAAGCACCACCATGACCACCATCTTTCAGTTTAAACACTGCCTCCTCAGAGACACTGTTGTTTATCAGAACACCTAGTACTCATAATCTGTAAATATTTTTTTTTTGTTTACTGTTTGTACTCCACAAAACAGGGAATTTGTCTTACTATTGTATGCTCAGAGCCTAGCGCGATGCCTGACACAGGGCAGGTACTCAATAAGTATATGCTGAATGATAACAAAAGTAGTTACTATGCTACTGTTATTAATATTTTCTTGCCACCTGCAAAAAAGGTCCAGAGCTGTGCCAAGGCAGCAAAGAGGAGAGCTGGGATCTGTACCCGGGTTCCAACCACCAGGCTTGGCTGAATGATGAATAGTTACAAGGTGTTCTGTAAACAACAACAGGTATATCCCTGATATTATTCTCTTCTTCCAGATCTTACTCATCTGTCAGAGTTTGCATCTCCTGCTTGAAGCTTCCTCTGCTCAAGCCCACCTTCGCTTAGTGGAGCTCCCACAGCACTCAGTATTCACTTCTTGGCTGAGTCTTATTTTTAATGTTTTTGCACTATTTCTTCCACATATCGTCTTATCTGATGATGCCCTGCTCGTAACGCATTTGCTCTTCCTCACTGTTCCTGAGCACCTCGTGTACCTCTGGGCCCCCAGAATGTGCTCAGCATAAGCGTGGAGAGTGATCACTGCTGCTGCCTTTTCAGGGATCTGGGCCGGGGCAGCTTTGCATTGTGTACATGCTTTCATGGAAGAGATGAGGACTCTCTAGGAGAGAGGTAAGCCAGTTGTTCTCTTACCTGATCAGTCGTGGCTGGTGGTGGCAAAGCTGTAGAGAATGACAGCATCCGCAGGGAGGCCTCCAGCTGCTGAGGTGGCAAAAAGAAGTTGGGCACCACAATGGGTTCTGGGCTATAATGGTAGTTAAGGGACATAGATACAAAGAGATCTCCCCCTCGCCAGACTGGCATCTCCACTGGCCCAGTAGTGCCCTCTGTCGGAAAGGCCCTGTCCACCCCTAACAAGTTGCAGTCTATACTTTCTGCAAGGGTCAGTTATAATCCTTTCTTCCCTTGGAAGCCTCCCCTAATGTTAGCTCTCACTGACCCCTCTTTTCTTTCCCATAGTCTAGAGCACAGACTGCAACACAGGCTAATGCTTGTTTTATTCTGCCAGGACTCTCAATTTTTCTCAGTATTCCTTCCAGAAGCTTCTCAAAGGCAAGGGGGATGTAAGTTTCCTTTAGTTACCTCATTATTTTCCTAGAGCCCTGCATGAGGCTGGTAAGCAGCAACATTTAAATGACACTTGCTGAGGTCCTGCTGACCCACAACTGACCCAGTAGAAGCCAGTCAGGGTCGGGTGGGAAGGTGGCCCCAAGGGCAGTGTCTTAGGCTGGAGAGAGATAGATGCTTGACAGTAAAGGCTGGTCCTCTCAGTTGTTTGCTGCCAACATCCAGGAATGAAGGCTCTACATAAGAGGCTGTCTGTGGATATAGCTGGTCTACCCAGTCTGCATCTGAGCCCTAGAATTCAAGTACCACACCTTGTACTTCTCCTGTGTACCCTCTGGAAGTACCCACTACCGTGCTGAGAACATGGTGTTCCAAAAGTATTTGTTCAAGCAAAGCACTGATTCAGTCTGGGTGGGGATTATTTTGATGTTCCAATTTTTTTTTTTCTGTTCAATAAGCTAAATATGGTTCTGGTTCAGTTTGGTTTATCATGGTTCTAACACGCTAGACTTTTAGGCTCCAAGAGGCCAGAGATGATTGATCTTTTTTTCAGTCATACTCTTGTCACCTAGCATAGTACTCTGGGACACAGTAAGTTTTTAATAAGTATCTACTGAATGAAGTGTATCCTCAGGGCTCCATTTTGTGTGGATGATTCTCCCTTTCCATGCTCTCCCTGCTGCCTTTAACTATTTCCGGAGACACCTACCTTGATAGCTGGCCTCCTCTTGGATGTCTTATAGGCATGTGTCCAAAATGGAAATCTGCACCTTCCTCCAAAACTGTCTATCTTTATGTGCTAGTCCCTATCCAGTCAATGACATCACTTACCTCGCAACTTTTAAAGAAATCTCTAAGTCCTACTTTATATTTCTGTTTTTCTCTTCCTTGCGCCCATCTAATTCTCTCACATCTATGATGTAGATTAGATTAGCCAGGCATAAAAGGCTCTCTCAGACATAGCCCTGTCTCACTCTTCACCATCGCATGTACACCTGGACTCAAAGCAGAGTGAACTGCTGCCCACAGGCCAGGCTCTTTCACCTGGTTATGCCTCTGCATACACAGTTCACTGTAACTAGAATTTTCTCTGGTCTCTGTTTACAGAATGCCTACTCATCTTTGATGTCCAGCTCCACTGTCTCTCTTCCGGGGATACACGTGAACAGCGTTGTGGCAGCTTCCTCCTCCTGCTCCCTACCATCTTGTCCATGTTTCATGACAATACTTAGAACAATAAATTGTATCACTGACTGTCTCCTGCCTCATAATAGGAACTTCTCAAGGTAAGGTCTAATTCAAATCTGTCTTCAGGAGAGCAGAGAGCCTGGCAATACCCATATTTTGAAAGGATGAATACTTGGGAAGGTCTGAATTACAGCAGTACCCTTAGGACCTGGTCACATGTGACTGCTTCAGTGCAGACCATATATTCTGAGCACAACTAAACTGACTGTAAAGGCAGCAGTGTCAGAAGCCAGGCTGAGTGAGGCCAGGAAGGAACTCCACTGGAGGTGGTCTGCTTTCAGTGCTTACCCTCCAGCCATTTCAAAGTTTCAGCCTTTCCTGAATCCACACCCTCTACTCTCTGCTCTACAATAAGAATCACATTGTGCAGTGTGTACAAATGTTTCAATCTTTTTTGATTTTCTTAAGAATCTTGTGAAATGAGTATCGTTCAGTTCAATCTCTATTTACTGATCCCTCCCTTCTCTGTGTAATGTCTGGTGCTGGGGACACAGAAAAAAAAAAAGACAAGGTCCCTGACCCACCAAGGGAGTGTATAGTCTGGTGGGTAAGGGATTACTACCTCCATCTTATAAGTGAAGAAACTGAGGCTCAGAAAGGTTAAACTGTATGTCTGAAGTCACCCAAGTAATAAGAAGATGGGTCTAGAAGGGTCAAAAACAGGCCCCCTGGCTTCGGGTAGAGAAAGATCTCTTCTGTAAAGCAGCCTCCTTCGCTGGCAGCCTTGCAATAACCCCTGCTTGCTGTCAGGACGCCAGGTGAACTTATCTGCTCAGAGGGGTCGGCAACAGATGTGAGGGCTGTTGATGGGCTTAGGTAGTTTTTCCCATTACAGGGTCATCTGTGTTTCAAAGGAAGAAGAGGTGGAATGCCTCTTCTCTCCACTGACACCATCATTCTGGGGGGCAGGGGGAGTTGGGCAAGTCCATTTCAACTGTGCCCACTTCCTCTCTCCTTGTCTCCGTTACTTGCCTTTTTCTAAAAAAATGAAGTATTAGGCAAGTCACTATAACTTTGAGCCTTAGTTTCCCTAAACGCAAAACAGAAGTGAGGATACTGACCTTCAGGACTTAGAATGATTGAATGAAAAAGGTATGTAAAGTGCCTGGCACATAGTAAATGCTCAATCACTGCTAATACTCTCCCTTCCCCTCTACACCCTCCACTTCTATTTCAACTGAGATTAATGGTCTCATTCCTTACATCCAGAGCCCTGCCTTCAAGTGTAAAATATCGAATAGATTAATCCAATAAATCAGGCTGGGCCAGACCAGTGAATGTGCTACTAACACTGAAGCCCAGTTCAAAACATTATGCTTCAGAGGGCAGGGGTTAATAGTAGAATCATAGCACCTTATTAGGACCAGCAAGCCTTCTGAAGGGAAGGGGCTTCCTATACCTTCCAGTGCATCCCATGAGGGAGGCCACTGCTCATACTCACACTCACACACACACTAGGATGGCTTAAGTGCTAGCATCCAAAATGCTTAGAAATGGCTTAAGGGACTACTTGTGGGAAATGCCAAAGGATACAGGAGACTCTGCCTTGTGGACACCTCTGATCCAGATGTTGCCTGCTTCTGACTGATGTCGGGGCAGTTGATGGGTAGGCCTTGATGATTTTCCTTTCTGTTATGGGAGGCTAGCCTGAGAGGGAATTTCTCAAAACTATCAGCAGAGTCACTTAGTTCTGTGGAGGCAGCTTCATTCTCAGTCTGGGCTTCTGGCTTGGGCTCCTGGTCATGATCTGCTTTAGGTGCGCTCAATCCCGCAGAGGTTTTGCTCTTTTGGGCTCCTGAGAGTGTCACTTGTGAGATGAGCTGAGGGTCTGCTAAGGCAGGCTCTCGACCCCTCACCTGTGAGGCTTCACCCTCACAAGCAACAAGACTTTGCCTAGGAGAACCCTGCTTACGCAGGTGGGGGTTGACAGCCCTTTCTGGCCTGGACAGAGGGCTACTTTTGCCCTTGAGCTCCTCTTTGGGGAAAGGCTTTGAAGGACAAGAGGGGCCTTCCTTATGCACCTCATCAGCCTGAAGGCTGATGATCTCACTTGTGTCTGACATGAAACTGGACCAAGGGCTAGTTTTGTCTGTCACGGTGGTGATGTCATTGAGGGTCCTGGGCTCAATGATGTCTTCTTCATAGTCCTCATCGCTGTAGGCTGGGTCTGCCTCAGTTTCCTCACTGCTCTGCATCCTTGTAATGGGTCCTGTGTGCCCCAGTGACTCATGGAGCACTCCTCTTCCACTTGAAGTCTCTTCAAGAGTAGGGGGAGTTAGGGAGTTTCTGCCCTCATCCGGATCTCTTTCTAATGACATATCTGGAATTGTTCTTCGTTCCTGCATTACCTCTGTGTCCTGAGCATCTGGTAGGGTGGTGACCTCTTCGCTTCTACTCCTGGCTCGGTGAGAACTCCAAGATGCTCGAGAATTTCTGGTGATAGTCTGCAGATCTGAACAGCAACAGATATCACTCTTACTACAAGGTAGGGCCACAGACCACTCAACTTTCCCATGTTAGGCTCTAGCTTCAGAGGTATTCTTGCAATCAGACTTTGAAAAATTTTAAAGATAGTTAATCCACCCAAGTCAGTGAAACTATATTCAAGGCAGTACAATTTCTAGCACTTTATTCTAACACCAGAGGACCAAAATCTAATCTGTTTATAGTTGTGGTTACATCTGTGGAAATGCTTTCAGAGACAATCTGCTCATGCTCAGGAATTCTTGGGAGCTAGGAGTCCTGGTGGGCATGTTCATGCTTCCATTTACTTCAGTAATTACCTATATTAAAAACCAAAATGAGATCTACTTATTTACCTATTTGATGACAGTTATTAAACTATATTATTTTACTTAGAAAATAAAAGCAAGTGATCTATCACCCAAATGGTAAAGTAGGGGAGTATTTCAGAGAAAATGGAAGCAGCATGGTATTATGTAAAGAGCAGAGGTTTTTGGAGCTAGTCAGTCTTGGACTCAGATCTACTTATTGTGGTCATGTGCAAACTATCCTCTTTGAACCTGCTTATCTTTAAAATGTGATTAACACAATCCTCTGCACAGGGTTATGGTAAAGAATACATCAGATAAATGGGCATACACTGTGTGGCACGTGTATAAGCAGTAAGTGGAAACTACCAGGCATTTCAAATTGTTTTTGTGATTAAATGGGAGGGAATAAATTAATAAACAGAACTACTAAATGGTTTGTTTGCATTATTATTTAAGAAGAGAATTTTAGGAACTGGGAGGCAAATTTGACTCCTGGCATATGGGGTCACATCTCCCTCATAGCACCTAATGGGAGTGTTCAGCCTACAGGAGGTACTGGCTACATTTAATATATTATTAATTTTTATGTCTTAAAGGAAAGTGAGTCGATGTATGAAAATGGAACATCTCTACCTGCAAACAGGAACAGGAACCAAGAAGCAGGTTAGTCAATCCTGATCCCTTGGCCTGAACCAGCCTTTCAGTCCTGGAGCAGTCTTTCTGCTTTTTATAAACCAGTCCATCCTTCAAGGCCCTGCTCTACTGCATCTCCTCCTGGAAGCCTTCCCAGGTGCACCAGCTAGATGAGATAGCTATACAGCTTTGTTCTATAAGGAAGCATTTAAGATGCTATTGTGTATGTTTTCCCCATCAGATTGTGAGCTTCTTAAAGGCACAGGTCGTGTATCGGATTCATGTTGCATTTTTAGGGTCCAGCAAAGGACCTGGCACATAGATGTAGCATAAATGAGACCCCCTCCCCTCCCAGTAACTTACTCCCCCCAAGCTTCACTGGTATCTACTTGTGTAATGACTTCTTCCCAAGTGTACTGAGACATGATGGAGGTTGGGGGAGTTTGTTTATTTAAATTGTTTTCTTTGAGGGGCGCCTGGGTGGCTCAGTCGGTTAAGCGTCCAACTTTCGCTTAGGTCATGATCTCGCGGTTCGTGGGTTCGAGCCCCGCGTCGGGCTCTGTGCTGACTGCCAGCTCAGAGCCTGGAGCCTCTTTCGGTCTGTGACTCCCTCTCTCTCTGACCCTCCCCTGCTCACGCTGTCTCTCTCTCTCCTAGAAATAAATAAAACATAATTAAAAAAAAAAAAAGTTTTAAACATTTATTCATTTTTGAGAGATAGACTGTGAGTGGGGGAGGGGCAGAGGGAGAGACACACACAGAATCTGAAGCAGGCTCCAGGCACTGAGCTGTCAGCACAGAGCCTGACATGGGGCTCGAACCCATGAGTGGTGAGATCATGACCTGAGCTAAAGCTGGATGCTTAACTGAGCCACCCAGGCGCCTCTAAATTGTTTTCTTCAAAACAGTCATCTCTCCCTTTCAAAATTCATCCTCTCCTTAGGAAAGTCAGTTCTCATTCCGTCACCCCCTTGCTTGGAACTCCCCATTTTCTTCCAGGATAAGGATTAAACTCCCAAACTTGCTTCAAGGTCCTCCAGCTCCAATCCTTCATTTCTCATCTCTCTTCTCTTTTAACAAGTGCCCATTTAAAAGGGTTTCCTATACGCTCTCACCTCTACCCCAAACAAGCCTCCCTCTGTTTTGCTCTTATCCTTTCTTTCTGGGGGATGGTTTCTTCAGCTGACTCTAGAATGTACACTTGATAAAAGCAAAGATAACGCTGATCTCGTCCACCATGGTATCCTCCTGGAAGCAGTAACACAGTGGTGCCTGACAGTTGGTGCTCAATAAATAGATGACTGAATAGTACCAGGCAAATGGAAGCCAAATACAACATGTACTTTGGGGACCCTGGCTACCAACAGGTCAGCTATCTGGGAAAGAGGGTAGGAAGGTTTATACCCCATATCAGTCATGGGTGGCTTCTTTCTACTTTAGAGAAAATTGAACTTATTCATCCCTGTGTACAATATACATATTTTGCTTCAGCAAAAATGACACCAAGTGATTGCTAAAGGTACTGATTTGAGCTCTCACAATTCCCCAAACTGTGCCTGATATATAAGTTCCCAGGCCTTCACCCTGCATTCTGATTCAATAAAATGGAAGAGGACTCAAGAATTTGTATTTCAAAAGAAGTACCTCAGGTGTTGAGGCACCTTTGAGAAATACTTATTCTACAGGAGTCTCTGTCTTGGGCTGCACAGTGGAATTAATTACCCAGGGAATGATGAAAAGCACTGATGCCTGGGTCCTCCACCCTCAGAGATCCTGTTGCAACTAACCTATGGTGTAGCCTGGGCATCTGGATTTTGAAAAGCTCTCTCAAGAATTCCAATATGCAGCCAAAGTAAGGACCACTGCTTTAAGGGGGTTTTCAAAGGGCTGACTATGGGCCACCAACATCTAGAATCATCGGAGGTACCTGCTAAAAATGCAGGCTTCTGGCCTCTCAGAATTAGAATTTTAAATATGTCTGTAGTTGATTTTTTCCTGAAAGTAGAATGGCACAACTTCAAGAACTGCTACTGAAGAGCTCACCTAATCCATTCTCGTTTTTGACTGGGGAAATCTCAAGAAGGGAAAGGGTATGCTGAGTCAAATCCTAAGTCTGTGCCAGAACCCTACTGAGAATCTGACTTGGGTCTCCTGCCTCTCAGTCCAATGTGCTTTCCACTTCAGAATTTCCTGTGCCATGCTACTAAATCTCTCTTTCCAAAAGGAAGAGAGTAAATAAATAAGATAGTGAAAGCTGTTGGTCTCTGATTTGTCATAGGGGCTTGCCTGAGGGCAGACATTCAAATGTTTTTTGAATAGGTACCCAGTGACTATAACTCCTCAACAAAAGGGGCCCTGAGCCATACCTGTGACTAAGGAGCTGACTTGCAACACCAGGTTACTGGATTTCTCCAGAAGGCACTGGCTCTCAGGGTCTAGGCTGCTAGCTCCGGGCCCAAGATGGTCCCTATGAGTCTCCTGGGACTGCATGATGGTAGGAGTCTGAGGACTGAGGGGAAGTAAAGGCTTGGTGAGCTTCTGACTAAAGTACCGTTGGATCTGATCCAGCTCACTTAGATTCCTCCTGTAAAAAAAAGAACAGGACAAAAAAGTAATTCACTGGAATTACAAGCATCTTTTATGTTCCTCTCAGAGTACAATGCCACTGCTGGGGACAACTTTCCCCTCCTTATGTCCAGCTAATGAGATTCTTCTTTAATGTCCAGCAAAAATCCCCCTTTCTGTAGGGAACCATTCTTGGCTACCACTCCTATGTAGTCTTCACATCTTCTTACTCTGAGAGAGTAAGGCCTTACTCGGGACTAACACTGACCTTTGCTACCTCACAATCATTCTTCACTTGATCTTAGCCAAAAGGCTGAGAAATGATAACCTCACAATCATTCTTTAAAAAAATTTTTTTAATGTTTTATTTATTCCTGAGAGAGAGAGAGAGAAACGTGAGCAGGGAAGGGTCAGAGAGAGAGGGAGACACAGAATCTGAAGCAGGCTCCAGGCTCCGAGCTGTCAGCACAGAGCCCGACGCAGGGTTCGAACCCACAAACTGTGAGATCATGACCTGAGCCGAAGTCGGATGCTTAACCGACTGAGCCACCCAGGCGCCCCATTCTTGATCTTTCAAGTAAGTAATTTCTTGTAGCAAGCCTTCCCTGAACCTCTAAATTGGTTTAAGAGGTCCTCCTCTGTGCTCCACATTTCTGTGCTCTTCAATCACATCATTTGTTGGTTTCACATCTTTCTTCTGATGTACTGTGAGCTCTGTGCTGATTCCCTTATATCTATCTACTGTACCCAGCATAGTGCTTGTCACAAAATAAGTGAATGGATAATGAATAAATGACTTAAAAAAACCTGTTCAAAAACCTTGAATGGGACCACATTCATTCTTACCATTCTCCAGAACTTAGGACTCCACATTTTGTGCTTTCTCCATAACAGATGGAAACCTGAGTTCAAGCTACTCCCCTTGCTCTGTCCATATATATATATATATATATATATATATATATATTTTTTTTTTTTTTTTTTTTTTTTGAGAGAGCACGAGCAGGGGAGAGGGGCAGAGACAGGAGAATCTTAAGCAGGCTCCACACTCAGCATGGAGCCCAATGTAGGGCTCTATCTCAGGACCCTGGGATTATGACTGGAGCTGAAATCAAGAGTCAGATGCTCAACCGCCTAAGCCACCGAGGTGCACCCCCCGCCCCCCCTTAATTTTCTTATTACGTATTAGTTTCCCAAACTAGGCCGTTGGTAACAGAAGATAATATCTCAACCTTCTTTATTTCTCTGGTACACTCAATGTGCCTGGTATAACTGGCACAACACATACACTAAATACATGTGAAGTAAACTGAAAGTTATTTTATCCTTTCGTTAGGAACAGTCCGCTGTACTGCCGGTATTTCTCCAGACATGACTTGCTGTTTCATGCCTCTGGCTCCCTGTGTTTTCTGCAAGGAATGCCCTTCACATTTGTTGACCTTCTCCTTCAAAGACTAGTTCAAGTGTAACTTCTTTAAATCTTCCCATAACCAATTTAGAACGTTACTCATTCCTCTGTCTACTCTTTGCCAGAAAACCTGCAGCTCTTATCACACATCATTATAATTATCTGGCAACAGGCTATCTCCTTCCTTCTCTGGGAATGGCAGAGCCAGGACTGGAAGTCAAGGCTATTGGACTCTGAAGCCAAGACCTTTTCACAGGAGCACACTTCTTACTAGATAACCCAAGTGCTGATTCAGATGATCTATAATGGCCCTTTCAATTCTCACAGTGCTTCTGTGGCTCAGATGCTGAATGAATTAAGAAAGAGGGAAGCATTAACAGGGCAGATGATGACCTGGATGAATTCAGTGGTTTTGAGGAGAAAGACAGTGGGCAGGATGAGGCTCTGTAAATAGTAAAGTAGATATGAAGCTGTATAATTAAGTTTGGTGAATAATCTACAGTTCCTGTATTAATGAGAATAATAGTATAAGAGGTGGTGAAGCAATGGAAGGCCCCAAGCAGAGACAGATTTATCTGTGAAGAATCTTGAGAGGCTCCAGGGTCCAATGCAACACTAACACAGACAAAATCCCCTAGTACACCTCCCAGGGCGGTGGTAGCTGACAGAAAAGCAGTACTGCAGGTTGCCATTGCCCATTTACCTTGTGCTTTACTATGGTTTCCTGTGTCTTTTCTCAGCACAGGGCCTTACCTGAGAGAAGTGAGAATGGAAGTGTGGGAGGATAAAGGCAGTGTGGTCAGTTTGTCATCACGTGGCAAAACTGCCTCTCCCTGCTGTAGGGATTCATGAAATCGGCGGATGTTCTGCACATGCTCTTCATGGCGTGATGCCTGACTTCTTGCAGTACTGCTTCTGTCAGGAATAAATGGGGCCAAAATAAATTCCCAACCAATTAGAAAACTAATGTGACAATCAACAAATAACTCTCTGACAATGGTAATGTAAATCCATCCCCATTACCACAGTCCTGGCTTTAGTAATTCTTGTTTAGATT